GATGATGATGATGATGATGATGATGATGATGATGATGATGATGATGATGATGGGGAGGAGGTGGAGGAGGAGGCGGTTGATTAGAGCGCAAAATATTAAGTTTGTTAGACAGTGAATCACGTTACTTTCTTCCACACGTCTAGAAGCCCCCTAACGTTCTCGCTGCCGCCAGTTCCAGGGAAATCGGTGACAGTGAGTAGCAATACCCGTAAAATGGCCGTTCCCCAGGTTAATGGTGGTTTAGAGTCAGATCAGTAAGGGAGATCGATCTGATCTGATAAGATTGATGATCGGGATGCATGGAGTAGAATCAATTATCTCAGATGTCTCCAACCATTTTCTCGATGCCCACATTAAATAGCAGCAATGATGGATAACTAAATATAATCACAATAGCGCCGAGTACATCGCATGATGAATGAGGTGACCGCGATGTCTGTTGTTCCGGACATGTAATATATTATGCCTTGTGCTGACTCCGTCTCCGGATGCGGCGAGCCGACAATCATACGGTGCCTGACTAAGCACCACGTGGTAACCAACTTGCCTAACTAGTTGGTTTGTGAAACAACCGAGTGAGTGAGGGAGTTACCCAGTTACCTCCTCAGTACCTTCCATGTACCTACCTGCCCAACTCCTCATTATTACTGCCAACTGGTTCTGCCAGCGTATTGGTATCACTGCCGTATGCGTAATAATTACCCCAAAAATACCCTCTCTCATATAAACCGCCCATCGAACCTGTGCGTTTCAACTAAATAAACGCTGCCTCTCCAATTCCAACTCCCTCCGTCTCCTCTCCCTCCATCTCCTCCTCCTCCTCTCACTCCTCCCACGCCCCCCCACACCCTTCAATTGTGTTCCCTCTTCCCCCTTCTCCTCCCTTTGATCCATCTCTCCCAGAGAGCTGCTCCCGCATCGACAACCAGATATACTGGTCACTGGTCACACCCCCAAGATGTACGCCCTGATAAAAACAATATCCCTCCCCTGCCCAAATTTACGTGTATATAACCCAACCAAATGCCAAAAGCTAACACTTCTCCCCTTTCCAAAACCCAGGAATTCAACCTTCCTCTCCCCAGCCCAGGATACCTACTGGGCCCAGTTCGAGGAAATCTCTAAATACAACGTCCACCTCAATTTCGTCGAGCGTCTATGGGCCGCCTGGTACGTTTGGATGCAGAATGATGTCCTCGCAACCGGCATCCTCTCCTTCGTCATGCACGAGTGCGTCTACTTCGGCCGCGCTCTGCCCTGGATTATCATCAGCAGAATACCCTATTTCAATAAATATAAGATTCAACCTGTAATATACCATATATATTGACACATAGAGCTTAGACCTGATCTCTCGCTAATTCTTACCAGAATAAAATCCCGACCCTGAAAGAACAATGGGAGTGCGCCAAACTAGTCCTCCTCAGTCACTTCACCGTCGAACTCCCACAGATATGGTACCTTTCCCTTCCCTTCCGATTCCCTTCTCTCTCACTTTCTCTCCCCAATCACCAAGAGCAACCCCACTTACCAAAATAATGTAGGCTCTTCCACCCAATGGCCCAATATTTCGGCCTAGACACCGGCGTCCCCTTCCCCTCCCCCTGGACCATGGCCTACCAAATCGTAATCTTCTTCGTCGTCGAAGATACCTGGCACTACTGGTCTCACCGCCTTTTCCACTGGGGCCCGCTCTACCGCTCTGTCCACAAAATCCACCACCAATACTCCGCCCCCTTCGGCCTGGCCGCCGAATACGCCTCCCCCATCGAAGTGATGGCCCTGGGATTCGGCACCGTCGCCGCCCCTGTCTTCTGGGCAGCCTTCACGGGCAAACTGCACATCCTCACCATGTACATTTGGATCATGCTGAGGCTTTTCCAGGCCATTGATGCGCACAGTGGGTATGAGTTTCCGTGGTCGTTGCATCATTTCTTGCCTATTTGGGCCGGGGCGGATCATCATGATGTGCATCATGAGAAGTTCATAGGGAATTTTGCAAGTAGTTTTCGATGGTGGGATTATTGTTTAGATACAGAGTATACGCCTGAGGCTGCGAAGAGGTGGAGGCAGAAGAAGCTGGCTAATGCGGCGAAGAAGAAACAATGATTTTATTTGTTTTCTATCTCTCTCTCTCTCTCTCTTTTTTTTTTTTCTTTCTTTCATATATATCTTGGGAAGACGCACCGGCCAGTTGTCGACGAGACGATTCTTGCGGCCTGAACCACGTCCCATCTCATTCCAGCGGTTCTATCGATAGGTTTCTATCCTATCACAGATACTGCCTTTTCTTTCCCCGTGTACTATTCCGGATTCTCCCCTTCTAATTATCCTTTCGGATCGATTTTGGCTTCCCATTGCTCTGGAGTACTTGATTGAATTAATTCCTGCCTTCAAAATTTCAAAATTTCAAAACCGCCTTTGGCCCCCTGATACGTTCTGTTGTTACCTCTTTTCTTGATAATATCCCCATTTTAATTTGTCTGTATTTCTTCTTTATTATTATTATTATTATTTCTATTATCATAGATGAGAATAATTTTTCTTTTTACATTGTATGAATAATGTTGCAAACTGAGATATTTATTCGCCACCTTCCGCAAGCCACAACAATCTCCGTATACGTATACTCCGATCCATGTCCCGACACCCATCCCAAAAGTCGCCGGACACACCCATGGAATCCTCTGTATTTTCCGTGATGAGGAAACCGAACCGGATTTTCGCCACCAAAGAGAGTGTATGGCAAGAAGATTGAGCAGAGCATGAGATTGGGGATCAATCATATTGACAAGGATGAATTCCTAATCAGCTACGCAGCAGCTAGGCAGGAGACTATGAAGGATACTACTATAAGAAACAGATTCAAAGCCACAGGCTTGATTCCATTCAATCCAGATGAGGTACTTACTCAGCTACATACTCAATCCTACCCCGCCAGGATCAGCTCATGGATCTCACGGATTCCAATCCTCCTGGGCCCTCAAGATCCCCTGCAATGTGAATCAATTGGAATGGCAGAGCAGCAAGATTAAACGCGGTACGGATGTTCTTTCTAGTCCCACAAATCAAGCTCTCGATCAGCTAGTTAAAGAATGTCAGCTGGCCATGAGTAAGATTGCTCTTTTAACAGAGGAAGTCAAGCAGCTGAGAGCTGCCAACGCTAGACAGAAATGAAAGAGAGAGAAGCCACATATGTATATAGCTGAGGAAGGGATTGAGGATTCAAATCTGAGAACTAAAAAGCGAGCGCCACCACACTGTAGTAAATGTGGCAGTACGAAACACAAAGCTCCTAGCTGCTCACAGACCTAAGGATATATTCTATATCATTTCTATATAGAATTCCTAGTGGTTGTTGCTTAAGTTGAAAATTTGTCAAATAATATGGCGGGGTTTGACCAAATGGGTGTCGTTGGTCAAAAAGATGTCGGATTACGTTAGCTAACAAACAGTTAGTTAATGTAATCCATCATCTAGTCGATCGGCCTTTCACCACTCAAAGTATCTCAGATTAAATTAAGCAACAATTATATACAGAAAGTAGTAAATTATATTAAGAATTATTTCCTGCATGCTGAGAGCATGTATGAGCAGTATGTCCAATAGTCCCACATACACTACACTGTGATGCTGTGTGTTTTCATGGTTGAGAGTCAGCAGCTTCAACCACCTCTACTTCCCATTTATTGACCCTTTGTACATGATTCAAGCCTTCTTCAACCCCCAAAGCACCATCTTGAACTATATATATACAGTCTGTTTCCCACTTTCTCTTTTGTTTTGCATTTGCGGCTCTTAGTTCCTTGACCTCCTGCTCCAAAAGTGCTATTCTATATATGGTCATTTGACAGCCCTTGACAAACTGGCTTAGAGCCTGATGAGTAGAACTGGGTGGACTTTGCATACAGCGTTTGATATATTTCCTGACCTTCTCAGCCTGCTGCTTCAATTGGTGTACATTATGTGGTGTGGCTGTGGCCCAGGAAGCTTGAGAGCTATAAGAAGTTCCAGGAGGAGTGGGTGTATGCATTGTGGTATTAAGGCATGAGAGAACTGTCAGGCCTATCCGCCTTCTTACGTAATCTGCACTGTATATAACTTCCGCGTAGCTAGTGATCGCTTCATAATCAATCAAGCAATCTATCCTTGACAGGTTATGAGACCCGTTTTTGCGCAAATAACTGCCAATTCGGGGAATTCTTGCCAAATATAGTGTATATTAATCACTGCTCACTTCAGTCAATATAATATTGTCTTATTTTATGTCAATTGATCAATTTGGCGCGCTCTTATATTATTATTATTATTATTTTTTTCTGTGTTCAATCCATTTGCTTAATGGGTGAAAAAATCTGCAACTTGCTAATTTTTCAGTGACTGATTGCACAAGAACATGCCAATCCACTCAATCAAGCTTATAGGCAAGAATCTCACTGAATAAGATTACTCCATTATAAAGAAGATTAATATGACATGATGGAATGTATGATGACTCACTCACAGTTGTGATTGAGTCAATTCAGTCAATCTGACTGATCTGAAAATGACCAGGGGGCTCTAAGCTCACTGACCCCCCCAGAAGTGTTCAAGAGTTTCAGGATTGGACTCTTCAAAACACTCAGTCAGCAAGCCAAGCTGATTACAGCTCCTATCATGGTGAGGCCAGTCTGCCTACATCATGTTGAATATGCTGATCTGACTTCTTCAGAAGATGAGATGGAGATGTCTGCAGTGACCTCTAACTCATCATCAACAACTGACTCTGAAGAATTGCAACTGAGGAGATTGAATCTTGAACATCAAAAGATTGATTTAGAACTTCAAAAAGAGAGATGCAAAGAATTGTAGCTTCAACTTCAATTGAAGAGGCTCTGTGCTCAGAATGACAGAGCTGCAATGCTCACAAATTCACTGACAGGTCAAATGTCAGCATGAGATCTGAACTTGAGGTTCTGAATGCAATATAACCTCTATAACTCAGATAGCTGTGTTGGCAAGGCAATCAGCCAGTTCAAACAGAATACTAAATATATCATCAAGCTGAATGCTCTGGTCAGATCTTCAAATTATCTCTCCTGGCATGTGAATATGAAGGCCAAGCTAATTGATGCTCAATGCTGAGTTATATTGGAGGATAAGCAAGTCAAAAGCCCTGATGAGAACCTCAAATTAGCTTCTTTTTGAGAGGTCAAAAATCACTGACTTTTCACATTCATTTCAAACACATTGGCAGCCAGTATTAGGCCTCATTTTAATAAGTATGATGAGGGCAGAATTGCTTATTCTCTTTGACACACAGTTGAGAAGAAGTTCTTCATTTCAAGAACACAGCTCTGCAGAGAAGCAGTCCTAGCATTTACATCAATGAGTGATGTCCAAGTCATCAACATACATACATTTTTTGATAAGTTCAATGACATTATTATGAAATTGGAAATACTTGATATTTTACTGTCAAATGATGTGGTATTCCACATGTTCTATTCTGCACTTCTCAATATATGATGAAACTATGTGCAAAAGAAAATCAAGGAGATACAAAAGTTCAAATCAAAGTCTGTCATGTTGAATGTTCATTCAATCATGGAGGAAATATGCTCTCAATTGAATCCTCTCAAAGAGATCAAGAAGCTCATCCAGGTGGCTAATTCTTCAGCCAATGTAACTCAGGCTGAAAATGTGACTGCAGGTTTCAATAATAGCAGCAATGTTCAAAATAATTCAGCCTGTGGGAGCTGACCCAGGGAACACAGAGGCTATTGAATGAGCAGACATTCAAAGTCTGACCTCTCAATCTGCCTAGAATGTGAGCATCATCATGATGAACTCTGCTGAGCAGCCAATCTGAATAGCATCTCTGAAGAATGAAGAACCATCAACACAGTGAGAATAGAGAAATATAACAATAAGAAGAGTAGTGAGGGCAAGAAGGCCTCATCAACTGCAAATGACAGCTCTGAGACATTTCAAATGGCAAATCTAGTGCAGGTCATTGAGGTGTCTGCATACTCTGCTGAACCAATCATCAACCCACTCATCATATGGAATAGTGAGGCCAGATGTCATATTGCATGTGATCAATTGTGATTTTCTCAAATAACAGAGGTTAGCAGCCCTACAATTCAAGTGGCCAATAAGGCTATCTTGAAGGTTCAAGGAATTGAGGTCACCTCCATCTCAGTCAGGGAAAGATTAATTGAATTTGACCACATCTATTTGATGCCAGGCTTATCTGCCAATCTCATATCTGCTGGTCTATTGGAGCACCAGAACTATATTCACTGTGATCTGCAGGTGGACACTAGAAATTACTTTGAGATAATAGCACCTACAGGAAATGACATCTTCTATGTGAATTTGAATTTCAATAATATATACATTCTATCTGACACCTCTTCTATGTTCAGAGGTATTATGAATGATCTGGAGCTTAGACCACTGGCATACTTGATGGTCCTGAAGCCCAGGGTGATTTCAACAGATTATGATCTGAACACTGCATCACTGAGTCTTTTCAACTGCAATGATGTGGAGCAGCTAATTAACCTGAAGGATTCAGATACTGATACCTTCATTTTGTCCTCACCAACCTGCTTACCTGCCATTATGCTGAAGCAGCTACTGATTGATGAGTGGCACTGGCAGTTGAGCCATATTGGTGAGAAGAATCTAATTAAAATGTCACAGGAGCCCTGTTTCAGAATTGCCATCATCAGCCCAAAGAAGCTCTCATTCTGCACCATGTGCATTAAAGCCAAGCATAAATGTGCAAGTTATAAAAACACTCCCCTACGCCATGCCACCCGCAAAGGTCTTAAGATCTGGGTGGACCTATTCAGGGGTGGAGAAATGCTTGGTAATGAAGAAGATACACCATCCTATGCGGGTAAGAAGCTCGCAATGATGATCACTGATGATGCCACGTGAATGTGGTGGACCTTCCTATTGGAGTGCCGCAATGAGGCTCTAAAATATATATGGACCTTCAACCAATTTATGAAGAATCTGCTCAATCGTGGTGTCGCGATTATCCACTCTGACCGCGGTGAGTTGAATTCAAACGCGGCAGACGGGCTGACCAAGCCGCTTGGGGTGACTAGATACGCCCTATGGCGGCAGATATTAGAAGACGCGGTAAGCGGGCGGAAATGATTATATGGAGGAAATGACTGGTTTTTCAACAATATGGGTTTTCCAGTCAAATTATGCACTGATACCTAGCTACAGGCTATTTTTTGTATGTAATCTCGCGTACAGTTACATCGGTGAGTGGGGGTGTCAGGCCTATCCGCCTTCTTACGTAATCCGCACCGTATATAACTTCCGCGTAGCTAGCGATCGCTTCATAATCAATCAAGCAATCTATCCTTGACAAGAACCTGTTCAGGATTGTATGGAACCAACCCAGCAGCCCTAAAACTGCTCTTGATTTTGTTCTCTTTCAGGGCCTGTATATGAGCAGTAGGATATAGGGCCAAAAACTTCTTTTTGTTAATGTGATTGATTCTAAGCCGCATCTGCTTCTCTACTAGTCATCTGTACACTGTTTTCAGAGGGGAGAATATAAGGGGCTGAACCCCTAGATTCGCTCTGGCTGGCTGACTCAGCCTAGCCATTGTTTGCACATGCGCACGTGATCATGCTACGTTAGCTTGCTTAAGCTCGTGTTCTCATCTCATTCTTTTCTTCCCTTTCCCAAGCAATTCATCCTTGTTATATAGGAGGACTAGCCTCTAGTTCTTAGAGCTTAACCCACTACATTATGAATTGCTTCACTCCTTTCATTGATAGGCCACTGGGAGCCTTAATTTTGTATCATAAAGTTCAGCAAACATGCTGATATATGACAGGCTATTGAGAGTCTTAAATTCTGCATCATGAAGTTCAGTGATAGCACTGGTATATGAATAGACTGGGTTAGCAATTGTGCTAACAAATGAATGAGCAATATTGAAAATGTCTAGCTGAATGAGATAAAGTAACAGATTTGTACAATGAATACACAAATGAATCAACATAAAGCAATGAGCAGAGACACTCTCAGCAGCTTTGAACAACAATGAATGATCTTTCTTCAACAGCAGGAACAGGTTCAGCATGAGAACAGAAATTTAATAGCAGCTCAGCAAGCTGAAATAGCTAATCTATGACAAGCTTTGAACATCTCAACATCAACTCTCTATTAATTGAACTCACAATCATTTATTGCAGTCAGAAGATCAAAGACCAAGCTACTGAATTGCAAGAAGTATGATGATTCTAATCTGAAGCACTACTCTCAATGAGAGCTAAAGCTTCAATCAAAACTTAAGATCAATGGAAAAGCTTTAGGTAATAATGAGAAATGTGCTTGATATATGTACTTAAGACTAGAAGAAATAGCAGCAGCTCAAGTTTATCTCTGAGTTGAGAATAATAAGAACAAGATCAACTTCACAGTAGAGAGCTTACTGAAGCAGACACACATGCTCTTTAGTGATTCTGCACAACAGAAAAAGACTATACAAAAGCTCAACAATATATGACAGAGTAGAAGAGCTCTTTTTGACTTTCTGTCTGAATTTAATCAGCTACTACTTGAAGCTGATGGTCATGAATGAGATGATCATATTAAAAAGAAGTATTTGAAATCCACTCTAAGCATGGAGCTAAGGGAAGACATGATGGGTGTAAGAGAATCATCTCTCTATAAGAATTACTGCAAGAAGCTTAGATTAGTTGATTATCAACTCTCTGAGCTTAAGACTTTAAGATAATGATCTAAATGTTGTGAAGATAGATCTTCTTCAGATCATACAACATCTAATTCACACTTTTCACTTTGTCATGCTGTTCTTGATTGATGAAATTGATCTCAAGCTTCTGCTGATAATCTGATAAATCTCTCTCCTGATGCTGTGATCCCAAGCACTCATCATGTCAAATTGATAAATCAAACAGAGATTAATTGATGAAGAGAGCAAGGCCTGTGTCTGAGATGCAGAGTCAGAGATTATATGATTAAAAGCTGTCTGTTCAAATCTCTTAGAT